TATAAAATTTTATGGAGACCTTTTACATGTTTCTGCTGTAGTTCACCCAGGTAAATTAATATCTGACTTTCTCATGTAGCATTAATTTATGGCATAAAGTGTAATTTGATGGGTTACACATAGATTATTTTATAGATAATTCATAACTACTAAATAAAACTCATTTCCCAGAATAAGGGAGTAAATAACAGTAAGTGGTTGCCAAAGTGTATTGAGGGTTTTTTATGTGCCAAACCCTGTTCTTAGATCTCTGTATGTGTTCATTCATTCACCTCCCATAGAGAAAAGAGACTATTCCAAATTGTTTATCTAGATGGGTAGAACTGGCATTAGAACTATCTTTTGGCTTCTTAATTCATGCTTTGTTATGCAGACCCCACCCCCTATTTGAATGTGATTTCCTTATTATCTGCATGGGTTATCATTTGTAAAATGCACTAATATATGTAAGTGATTTTATTTCATCCTCATAGCGCTCTATGAAACAGTGTTTTACAGACGAGTAAACTGAAATCCGGAGAGGTCTATTTGAGTGTACCACATGTGGGAAGCGATGAGTCTGGACTCAAATTCTACTCTCTCTTCCAAATTCTGTTTATTTTCACCATGCCATTATTTTCAGCGAGCATAGGAAAGTGAATACTGAGTTTCTTGAAGTGGTTGAAGTACTTTTTTTTCCCTTTCATTTAAAGCAAATATGGCATACATGTATATGAAATATTTATTTATACTTCTTTTGGCTTAGCTATTTTTTTTACTCATCTTTGTGGCTAATGTTTTGATGTGTCTTCCTCAGGGAGGTTTTACTTACTCACTCAACGCCCTGCTTAAGTACTAGGTCAATTTTCCCACTTACTATCTGAAACCCTCAGAAGATCAGGTGATTGTTTTTACACTAAACATTCATAAGCCTTTATTTGTGGTCGTATGTTGAAAAAAATCAGAGAACAAAGTTAAATTTTTATCAAACCCGACAAAATACGATTCATAGGTGAAAAATTATGTGGAAAGTGAAAAATGGATAAAGAATAAGAGTAGTTAGCAGCATAATCTGATGAGACTGAAGAAAGTACATTTTATTTATAGGTGAGATACCCCCTCATATTATGAGTCATAATCCGGTTAATCTTTTTAATATAATAACTGTACGATTCTCAACCATGTCTCTCTTTGACAAGATTTGCAAGCTCAGATAGAGCTTAACTTTTCACAGGAGTCAGAGGCTTAGGGTTAAAGTTCAACCTCCAACTTTAAACCTTTATGGTTTTGAGTTGCAGTGTGTTTTTTCTTCAGGTCTTGTGTGTATGTTTTCTTTCCTTGCTAGAGCTCTGGAAAGGGGCGTAGTCCTCATGGAAGGGTCTTCATGTCCTCCTCCTACCAGGTGGGGAAGCTTGGGTTTTGCACTCTCTGGCTTCTGTGCGGCATTTGTGAGCAGCCTGACGTGTTTGACACCAGTGTGACAGCAAAGAAGTGTGTGAGCTGAGCAGTGTGAGGTAGGGTCCAGCTGTGTGGATTTTATCTGTACATCAGGCCAAGGAGCAGCAGTTAGCCAGATCTGACAATCAAACACGGGCACCTTCTCCCTCCACTCCAGAGTGCATTTTAATGTTGTGTGTTTACCGACTAGTTGGCATTTGACACAAAAGAAATTGTCAGAGCTGGGCATTTTTTTTCCCCTTCACTCTTTAGTGTGTTGGTCTATGGTAGTTTCCCCCAGTATACCTTATTGCATATCACAAAAATATACATTTTCTAAAACAAAGTAAGAATCATGGCGTCTGCATTTTTATACTGAATTTTACGTTAAGAATTAGTAGGTAATGTGTTTGAGTTAATAATAGGTAATGTGTTGAATAGGCAGTATGTTTACATAGTTCAAAAATCAAAACAGTACACCTGGAATGTTTTGAATAGCCTTGTTTCACCCATGTCTCCTTCTAGTCATTTCTCACCTCTACCTCATAGGTAACCACATTAATAGTTTGTCACATATCCTTTATGTTTCTGTATGCACATATAAGCAGATATTCTGTCTCTTGTCTTTTACTTCCTAAGATATTCTGGAGAGCTCTATATTTCTCTAACAGGGAAGCTTCCTCATTCTTGTTTACTGTTGCATTGTATCTCATTGTGTGGATGTGCCATGGTTATTTAACCATTCTCTGTGGATGGACACTTGGATTGTTTCTAATCCTTTTGTTTAGTTGAGATAAAATTTACATTAAAAAAATTACATACCAAAATACTCATTCTTTTAAAGTGTACAGTTAAGTGGGTTTAGTATGTTTCCAAGCTTTTGTTCTACAAATAGTGATCCAGTGGGTAAACTTGTACATATGTTCTGAACATGGTGCAAGTATATCCATAGAAAAAATACTCAGAAGTAGGAATTGTCAATTACTGCCCATTGGTATTGTACTAATTTGCACTCTTGAGCATGAGAGGACTTTTTCTCCGTAGTCGTGCTCAGAGTGACTTTGCCTTTTTATAAAGCAATTTTAATTCTTAAGAAATATGTGAAGTTCATGAACTACCAGTTTAATCTAATATTAATTCCTGATTGATTTCACCAAGGTAGAGATGACCAAAAGTTCTTTTTAAGTTCATAAATATTATTGTTTATAATTGATCTCATTGGTTAACTGGTAAAATTGTAGGCTGTGAATGTTGATACACAGAACAGATTATAGATGTATGGTCTTAATTGGAGTGATTTCTGGATCCACATTCTTTCCTGCCATATAGATATAATGATGTTCACAGTATCAAAATTAAAATTTCCATTGGAAAGAGACCATTTATATTCTCCTTGCTCTGTAATAGGAACATTCCTGTAGAATTTTATCCTTTTGATACAGCCTTCCAAGTTATAATGTTTTATGCCTGTCTGATACATTGGACTTCAGCTGAGCTGGGAAGTAGGTTGTTTTTATAATGATGTAGTTTAAGTTTTAATTATAAATAGAATTTCAGCCTCCATTGATGCCTGTTGATCTATGGAACAGGTCTGTTGCTGTTTAATCTCATTAAGGTAGAGTATTTAATTCCTTAGAGGTGTTGACCTTTGTGCTCCTTCTTATACACAGATTAGCTTTATAGACTTGCCTGAAGAGGTCTTCAGGTGGTATGTATGTAGGTATGTATGTATGTATGTATATATTTATTTTAAGGTGGTATTTATAAGGTGGAGCCGTTTCAAGGCTTGAGTTTTCATGTGTGTTTGAATTATTCAAGGATTTTAATAATGGGTTAAATTTTGTCTGGGGGCATTTAAGTATTCTGTCTATAAAAAGGCCTGGCAAAAGAGTCATAGGAAAATATGAGCTTTCCTGAGGTCAAAGTGACAATTGCGGTATAGATTTTTATTAAATTTGTGATGAAGTGCATAAATGTGTAAGTATATGCATGGAAATATCATTAGTTCTTTCTATTCCCCAAGTAATAGCTAATGTTGAACACAGATAAGCCACTTAACTGACGATTCATCTAAACTAATGGTTTGTGTTAGTATTCTAGGTTCTTCATAAAGGTAAATTGTTCATAGTTTAACTGATAAGCCAGTCTTACCATTGTAGATGAGAAAATACCTTGAGTCCAAGCAGAAAGCTTTCATTAAATAAATAGACCAAAATTTTGTATGAGTAAACTTGAGTGTTTTGCCTCTGTAAGATCAACTGGTTGCTATATTTCTATTCCTTTTTTCTTTATTTACCTTGGATAATTTGCAGAAAGATACAGAAAGATTTAAGTTCTGCCCAAAAGGTGTTTTCTCTGGACTACTCTGATGGGTCTGTGAAAGAAAGGGTAGGGGAGGGTGATAGGGTCACTGTGTCTGGTTGAGCAGGTTGTTGACTGCATAAAGACAGTGTCCATTGGAGCAGGTGGGGGCTCAATTCCAGTTTGTGTTCATCAAGCCATGCGCCATGGACTAGGGCTGCAATGACCCAGAGCAAGGCGTACCATTTTGTAATTCCTACAAAGGTGCTGATAACAGCCTGAATATGCATCTTATTATAGTTTTATTTGAAAATCAGTTGTTTCTGCCTTTTCTGTTTTTTTTTTTTTTCCTTTGAGAAATTTTCTGTAGTATATAGATAATTCCTATGGGAGTGTATGTGTATATACACACACATATAATGCCATTTATATGCCATGTGGTCTCTTTCTCTCTGTCGCACACGCGTACACACACACACACACACACCATATATGTTAGGTATTCTTTGGGAAAAAAAATCCTTCAGAAGGAGGACATCACCTTATATATATTCGATTCTTTATGAAATACCCTATAATATGGGGTCCTCTCTTAGTTACTTTGTTTGAACAGCATGGTACTGTTTGGGAAGACATAGAAATGGCCTCAGTGCTAGCTGTGGATACTTAAAAATGTTTCTTCATAAAACTGGAAAAGAAGCGAAGATGCTTAACATGGATTTAGTATTTATTCTAGAAATGAAAGATCACTTTTAAAAAAAGTAATACGTAAGTGGATACTGTATCAAATAAATGTTTATAGGATGAATAAATCTTCCAAATATCCTGACATTCTGTAAATGGTACTGTGGTTTGATTTGCTATTTCTAGTGTTTGTGTGATAGGAGGATTCAGAAGCTGCTGTGTCTCAAACACATTATACAGACAGGAAGGTTTGCTCTGGAAAACTGTATAGGGATCTCAAAAGGTGAGTTTAGTGATGAAAAAGACGATGGTGTTAAAGAAACATGTCAAGATTGGTGAATCAAATTGTTTCATGGAATATGAAAGTGAATAAAATCATTATTTCTAAGTTAATGCTTTATGCAATGTGTAATTTAAATGTATGTAATTAAAGTAATACATTTTATAATAGGCGTTTGGCTAATTTCTATCTCTAAAAGTTTCTGTATTCAGGTTGGCCAAGTTTTTCTTGGTATTGTCTTACTGGAAAAATAAGGGATTGTCTTATATTCTGATCACTTTATATTCAGTCACCTATAATCATTATTTTTTCTAAACAGAAACTGAGGCTTCTTGAAGAGCTCGAAGATACTTGGCTTCCTTATCTGACCCCCAAGGATGATGAATTCTATCAGCAGGTAAGATCTTTTCATATTTTTATCAATTTGTATTGATTTGTTCTGATCTAAGAAGCAGCTGTGCTCTGGAGAGGTTAAATGAGAAGTGAAATGGTCTGATTTGGTCATCCAGTGACTCCTCATCACCCACAGAACATCCCAGTTCCTTCACGATCTGCTTCCTGCTGTGAACCTAGGGCTTTGGCACAGTGGACTGCTTTCTTCATCCCCAAACATTCCATGCTTTCTTCTACTTCCTTGCCTCTGCTCCTTCTGGTTCTTCTGCATAGAATATCCTTTTGCCTCTTACCTTGTTGCCAGATGGCTAATTCTTCAAGACTTCACTTAAACATCCCCTTCTTTGTGAAAGTTTCCTTGATTTACTTTACCTAAAAGTAGACTTGAGCACACTCTGTTCTGTGCTACTTGTACCTTCTAAGTACCTCTATCCTGCCTATCGCATTGTATTGCGGTTATGGGATTCCATGTCTCTTTCCCTGAGGTAGTCAGTACTCTTTCAATTATAAGTGATAAAAACCCCAACAGACTCACTGTAGCAAAAGAGGAATTTATTTTATTTTATTTTATTTTAAGATTTTTTATTTATTTGGCAGAGACAGAGATAGCGAGAGCAGGAACACAAGCAGGGGGAGTGGGAGAGGGAGAAGCAGGCTTCCCGCTGAGCAGGGATCCCGATGTGGGACTCGATCCCAGGACCCTGGGATCATGACCTGAGCCGAAGGCAGACGCTTAATGACTGAGCCGCCCAGGCGCCCAAAAAAGGAATTTATTGACTTTCTTAACTTAGATGTCCAGGAGTACATGGCTGAATCCAACTTCTCAAAAGGTGTCATCTGATCCCTGCTTTTCTCTGTATCGTGGTTTGGCTCTCCTCTGTGTGACTTCGTGCTGGCTAGGCTCTGACGTGCTAACGTACATAGGAGGAGTCTGACAGCCCAAGGGGTATGTGGTCTTAAGCACGTGGGATTTTAGAAGAAGGTAGCCATTTCTTTTTTTCTGGTTCCATCTGATTTCCCTGGGAGTGATCTTGTTGGCCTGGTTTGAGTCCTGTGCCTATTCCTGAACCAGTCATTGTGTTCATGGGCGTGAGATGCTCCCGTTTGCCCAGCCTCGTTCATGCACCCACTCGTGGAGTTGGGTTCAAATATGACCATTTCCACTACAACTGCATGGACTGTGAACTGGAGATGGATGGTTTCCCCACAGGAAAATTGGAGTCCTGTTCTCAAAGAAGGAGGGGAAGGCATTTTGGGCAGGCACTAATAATACATATTCATCTGTTCTTCCCTACCAGAATGTAGGCTCTTGGGGATAAGAATGGGGCTCCCTCATCTTTGTTTCTCTGGGACCTCCCATGCAAATGTATATGGCTGATTCTCAGTAACTGCTGAAGGGAGACAGGAAAGAAGATGTTTACGCATCTAGCATTCAGGTCGCTTGACTTCTAGTTCACTCTCAATTCCAGGATGTTATCTATCATCTCCATTCTCATTAGATCTTCACTGTCTTTCAGTCCTTTTATGGATTGCTCTAGTTTCTCCTCTTTGTCCCTCTTTCTTAATCCTTAGAGCTATAGCACATTTTCTAAGCAAGACATAAATCTGAGCATGTCAGCCCCCTGCTTCAAACCTGGAAGTGGCTGCTCATTGCCTGGCTCTTGCCTTTCTAGTCTTATCTCTCCAACTCTTTCATCTTGTTACCTGCACTGGACTTCGGCAGGACCTCAGACTAGCCAGACAATCTCATGTTTTGGGCCTTCTTGCTACATCCTCTGCTGCCCTGCCTACTCCCTTTCCTTGGTGAACTCCTGTTACCTGTTAGCCAATGTGTCATCTCTTGTAGGATGCTCCCTGACACCTCTGCACTGCAGAGGCTTGTCTCTGCTCCCTCTTGTGTGCACCCATAGTACTTTATATGTACCTTCATTATCTCCATGATTTTTATGCTTGTCTCCCCCATCCTCTGTACTTTGTATGGCACCTGGCACCTAGTAGGTATTTAATTAATTTGCTTGGATGGATGAGTGAATCAATGCATGCATTAGTTAATTTTAAAAGCAAGTTATATAATCATGTTTAGTATGCTTTTAATTTTGTTTTTATACACATACACTTCTCCCCAGGGAGGTAGCATCGGGAAAGGTTTGCAGGGTATATACAGAAATATCATATGCCAGCATGGTAGGGTTTTCTAGTTTTCCAAATTGTCTTAAATTAACATGTATTCTTTGGTAATCAGGAAAAAAAAAATCCAAAGGACCCTTAAAACAAACCCACAAAATACGATCAGTTCTTAAATCCTTATTACTGTTTTTATAGCTAGAAGCCATCTGGTGCATGATTACACACACTGTTCTAAAGCAGCTTCTGAGCCTTTCGGCTTTGGAATGGTGCAAGTAGTGGTAGTACATGAAGAACTAAACACAGAGGTTATCAGCCACTGTGCTCAGAGCCAGCCCTACACTGGGGGATAAAAGGAAACTCAAAGGCAAACAACAACTATCAAGGCTGCTCTTTTATCTTTCCAAGACCCACAACAAGTCTGATACCAATATCTAATCACCTTAAGTGCACCTTATAATAAGGGTTACTGCTTCAACATACCCTTAGTAAAGGAAATCTATTCTCTTAAAAGATGAAGGGAAAATACTTTTTTTAAAAATTTTTATTTATTTATTTATTTATTTTTAAAGTTTTATTTATTTTTTTATTTATTTGAGACAGAATGAGAGAGAGAGCACATGAGAGGGGGGAGGGTCAGAGGCAGAAGCAGGCTCCCTGCCGAGCAGGGAGCCCGATGTGGGACTCGATCCCGGGACTCCAGGATCATGACCTGAGCCGAAGGCAGTCGCTTAACCAACTGAGCCACCTAGGCGCCCGAGAAAATACTTTTTTAATGACATGAATAAATAGACAGTTCAGACCCAACGTGGGGTCCTTTCAACAGGCCCTGGCCACAGGAATGCCATTCCAGCTGCTAGTCACAAAAGCAAGACTTTTTGCAGCTTCCCTGTTGGGTAGGTGTGTTTACTCTTACAGTGTGCTGTTCAGTCCTCACAAATCCTTCGTGCATTTATGCCACAAATGTGCATTCACTGACTGCTCTTCTTCAAGCTTGCAGTGTTTGAGGTAGGTATTATCTCCTCTCCTAGAAATTTCTCTTTAGATCCACACTGAGCTCCATATCTGAGCGGCAGAGGTGGTCCAAGCCCACATTTATCTGACTCCGAAGGCCCCTGCTCTTTCTGCTCTGTTGTGTGCCTCCCAGAATACTGTACTCAAATTTAAAACACCTTCAGAGATGTTTTTTGGTTTCATCTGATAAGACCATAGAGAAAAGAAATAAAACACCAACAAATCCGAAGTAGAAAAGTGGAGAGAACTTCTTTGGGTTCACCAGAGAGCACAAGGAAATGAGGAACTACATAGTCCAGAACAAACCCTGGCTTCCAGATCTCTGAGTGCTACCTCTTGTGTCCAGAGAAAATACCTCTCTCCTCACTACGCCCCCTTGCTTTCCATTACTGTGTACTTTCCACTCCGCTTGCTCATCTCCTTGCTTTATGTGTATTTGCTCATTTACATCTTACCACAGCCCTCTGAGGCAGGAGGTTTTTTCAAATCCCATTTTAGAGATGAGAAAACTGAGGCACAGAGGGGTTTAAAATTTTGTTCAAGGCTTTTAAGAAACAAGAAGTGTCAAGACCAGGTGGTCTGACTCCTGGATCTGACCCTGAGCATCATCCTACTGTATCTCTTGGTGCTTCTGGTATTGCTCTGCTTTCATCCCCACGATCCTACACCTCTCTCTCGATCCCTGCCCTCCCCTGTGACCTCCAGGGCTCCAGTTCCAACTACCTGCTGGGGGGCTCTGCCTGGAAGTCTTGCAGGGGCATCTAACCCAACACAATCCATATTCATTCATTACTGACTTCACTGAACATGGATACTTAGCTTCCCCGCCCTGTGCAGGTAATGTTGTAGGCATTAGTAGTGAAAACCAAGAGAAGATTCCTCCTTTGAGTTTATTTTCTTATGAGGTGGGACAGGGGGAGGGAGCAGAAATAAAAAGAAAGCTAGAAAATGAATGTTGGAAGGGCAAACAGGTACGGAGATGAAGTAGGTCAGAGGGCACCATAGGATGGGGGACTGCAACTTAGGGTGGTTGTGGAAGACCTTCTCATAGTGACGTTTGAACCAACCCCTTATGGAGGTGTGGGAGCAAGCTATGTAGATACTTGTAGTAAGAATGTTCTGGACATAGGGAAGAGCAGGGCCCCTGAGGTGTATCTGAGGAGAAGCACGTGAGGCCAATACACCTGGTGCGAAGTGAGAGAGTTGAGAACAGAAGGGATGAGATCAGAGAGCCATGGCCTGATGATACGGGAACTTGCCGGCTGTACCGGGCATGTCGGTGGTGACTCTGAATGACACGAGAAGCTGTGAGAGGGTTTGGAGTGCAAGTGTGACAAGCTCTGAGTCACATTTTGGTAAGGATCCGTTTTACAGGGAACCTGCTGTTCATTCTCTTCTCTAGTGGCCACCCTCCTGGTGCTGTTCACCAAATCAGAAATCGTGCTGTCCTCCCCCTTCTACCCATTGCTTCAGTCCCTCATTCAGGCGCTGGGCCCTGGCAGGTCTGCCTCTTCATAAACCCTCAGGGTGTTTCTTCTTTTCATTCAGGCCCTCATTTATCATCTCAGACCAGCACAGTTTTCCTATTCTCCTACCTGGTGTTCCTTGTGCCCTCTCCAGTACCATCAATATTGTGTTCCTCTCAATAGGTCTGACTTGTCACTCCTAGTTTTCTAAATTTTGTTCAGTCTCTCTTGCCTGTAAGGTAGAGTTCACCCTCCTCAACATGTCCTCTAAGGCCACTGACCGTATGACCCCAGATTACCTCTCTGTCTCATCTCTACCCGTTGCCTAACATGGAGTCCAGCCATAGACTCCGTCATGCAGAGTCTCTTGCTACACCCAGGCTCCGCTGTGACCTTTCAT